ATTTAATGATATTTCTTTGAAATATCATTAAATAATTTTTTTTAAAAACTTAGTCCATCCAATTCAAGTAGGCATAGCGGGGTCTTTTCAATGGGGACAACATTTTCACTTGGTTTCTTTTAAAATGCAATATTGCGATATTGCGATATTGCGATATTGAGATATTTCTCCCAGATTTTTCTTTATTTTGATCATTTCAACTTTTCTCAAAGTTGACCATACAATGATAGAGTGAGTAGCTTAGCCGTAGCCTTTAGAATCGCATAACAAATAAAAATAGTTCTTCAATTTCTTGGAAAAATCTCTTCTTATCAAAAATACAATTTGATATCTTACATTAACAAATTCCATCAATATCCTAAAAAGGATAAATGAGTATATTTTTAATTTTTCAAAAGTACAGCTAAAAAGATTAGCAAAGTCACAGGCAATGGACTGTTAGAGATACGTCAAATAAGCATAATTTTAGTACAATAATTTTGTGCCCCTCATTAAAAGTAAGGGATATATTCAAATGCGTTGACGAAAGCTTTCAAAAAACAATGAACCCAAGGTTACATAAATTCTATATAAAATAAATAAGTAGCAATATCTGTCCGTCCATCACTGTTATGCACGCAATAAATATTCGATCGATGGAAAAATTAAGCAAAAAAATCATCTTCAAAATTGTTAATAAAAACATTGAAAGTTATTGCAAGCAAGTCGATCTTAAAATTCGAACAGACGACACGCCCACAGTTCCACTTAAGCAACGAGAATTTCTGATATCAAAAGCGAAAAAATTGCAGTTTTTGCCTATTACTACATAAGCTAAAAAAGATTTAAGGTGACCAGATAGCTAATTTTGTTGTTCATTGATACTTTTCCAGCAAAATTAACCATAGCTCGATTAATCAGGTTAAGACTTTGCGCACAATTAGAGCTTTTTTCATCCGTGTAAGTACCTATGGCCTACGGTCGTCTGCATATCGGCATATAATCTCTACTATAATTTGTTTTCCGTTTTGTCTTTCAAAGTTGCAGTATCGGGCAGTGTACATAATAAGCTCGATGAACTATATAAACATAAACGTAAATGACTGCAATTTACTCGGGTGTGATATCGTCAAAAAATTCAGATAAGATAAGATAAGAACTTTACCATTCCGATATGCTTAGTTGATGTCCATAGATCAAATTTGAAAATGATTAAGTCAAAGTGATGAAGAGGACGGATGTATGAAATTAATAGCTAACATATTCATATTCGATTGTATTAAAATTTTGCATTTACAGTAAAGTAATCATGCATTTTAACATTTGACACTTGCTGTTGCTATTTTCGATCTTCTGATAGCAAGACATAAAAGGCTTTTTATATGAAAAATGAAAAGAAAAAAAGATTTCTATTAGATCCAAGAATTTAAGATTCTTGCCGTTCAACAATACAAACTTTTGTGCTTTTGTAAATGCAAACTTTCCCGTTTAAGATCTTTTCTAAAGACAACAAGAAATTGTTGTCGCAATTATTACGAAAAACAATATTCAAGTGTCTAAATTGCGCACAATATGTTGCCAAATGATAAAGTTTTTAACACTAAAACATTCAAGATGCAAATGGGGGAACATTTACGTAGCAATTATTTTTAGCAAAAGCAATTTTCTGCCTCTTCATGTACCTTATGGTGTTATCGACATATATTTTGAAAAAGATAAAACTTTACCACACCATAGAAAGTAAACATTTAACTTGAAATCGCGTTGTAAAGGAGGATATTTTTAAAAAGAATTACATCTTTTTGGAATTTTCAACAATAAGAAATAATAAAAAAAGAAGCATATTAACAGTACTTCTTACTTAACCGAATATATAAATTGTACGCTTAATCAAAGCTTCAATCTGGAATTGTATGGAGAGATATTTAATGGAATGGAAATATGGCGAAGGAGGAAAAAATAAAATCACATATATAATTTTAATATCGTATCAGCTATCAGGTTAAAATTCTTCCGCAAACATGTATGAAATCCGTACAAACGCCTTATGTGGTTGTTGAGTTTGATTAACCCGTTAATGTGTCATATTGGTGATGTGTGAAGAGTTACTCTCATAGCTACGTGCTTTCCGAATTTCGCTTTTCGTGACCAACTAAATAAAATATTCAAGTACTCCCACGATTGGTATAATTATAGAACGGTCTGCCAATCACTAAAGAACAGATTTTTCCCATATCAGAATACCGATTACTCTTAGCTTATGTGCATATTATATATATATATATATATATATATATGTATGTATGTGCATGAAGTCCTTTTTCTGTGAGTTTACAGACAATACTTTATGCTTTACACCATTTATGGTATAAGGATATATATAAAGTAAGGATGAACGTAACCCCCAAAAAGATCTTGAGATAGAGCTCACCTTTTATAATACCTATCGATTCAGATTGTGTAAGAGAAAGTATTATTATTATTATTATTATTATTATTATGCCTAGTTATGCTATTTACATTTTAAATTGATAGACTGATGTGGCACAACTTTGCGCCGCCAATCTGCATAAAGTTTGTTGTGCGTTTCATTTATGTAAAAAACACTGTACTATGTATGTATTTCTATTATTAACTTTATATCTGTTATTTAATTGTTGCCATTAGTTATTCAATTCACTGAACGGTAAACTTTTTTTGCGTTTTTGATTTTTAAGCTGACATTCTACACATATGGTGCTATTAAGTAAGATTTTCAATTAAAATTTACTTATGTGCTATACATTTTAAGGATTGAAATTATTTATTGAATCACATAAAAACCCATATCGAAAAGGGATACTCTTACCTGAACTATGCAGGTGCACTTATATATATATATATATATATATATATATGCATGTTTAAATACCTAAGTGCTTTAAGCGTTCAAGTGTGAGTGAATAATATAAAAGACGATGCCAGCTGAGGAAACAGAAATGGAAGTAAAATTGATGATAATGATAATGGCAAAATTCTATTAAAATTGCATTGAAAATGACTTTTCAGTTATTTATGATTATCATTTGTGAAAATTCTTAATTGAAAACGTGTTTGCAATTTTCTGTAACATATAGATATTTGATGCTGCAACAATAATTCAATGGGCATGTAAGTGCATGAATAGTCATGTATGTTATATTGGTCCGAACACATGATTTAAATGTAAAAGCAATTTTTTTATTATTGCTACTTTTTATACCCTACGCCACTTCTTATATAAGGTATTTTTACTTTATTTGTATGCATGTAACACTCAAAAATGATTTAAAATAAATCAACCAATTGCTATATTAAATGATTTCAAATCACTCTCTTTCTTTTTACTTACCTCTATATATATCAACCTATTATGTTATATT